TAGTAGTAGTAGTAGTAGTAGTAGTAGTAGTAGTAGTAGTAGTAGTAAACCCTCCTGTCCTTGGCTTTTTCTCCAGCCTCAAAGTGAAATTAAAGACTATCAACTTCCTGAGCTAACAGAGAGGAAAGAGTCGATCTAGAAGGCTCAGAGATAGGAAACTATTTGATTCTAAGCCATTGTCCATGTAGGCAATAGCGGGGTGTGCTTACTCAGCAAACTTCATTTCCACCCAGCTCCATGGGGATGTGACTGTCTAATAACTGGAAGTCTTCCTGGTTTGAGCTATCCCCCTAAAAAGACACTTCAGTTCCCTGCCTTCATTTCTTCCCATATAAGTCCCCTTGGGGTCACTTTTATTCCCAGACAATTACAGTATTAACAAACACATTGTTAAAAAAATAATTACAGGTAGCCAGAATAATTTCAGAATAATTTATTTTGGCCGAGTTCAAAACAGTAACACTCTGTTCCTTCCCAACTAGTGTAAACCCCCCCCCCCCCTCTCTCTGGGGGGTTCTTCTTTGGGGAAAGTGTTTGCTTTAGTTTGGTTTAGGTGTCTAATTATCTTCCTAGAACCCAGTAATGGGACAGAAGCGCCTTTCCACACTGGGTCCAGGAGTCACGTTTGCAGAGTTAGAGCCTTAGGAGTAGCCACACCGACAGTCAGGATACCAGCTCTTGTTCCTGTGAGCTTCTCCCTAAGGCCTGGCCACCCGTACTGGGGCGTGTGTGGGGAGGGCGCGTCAGTATTCAGAGAAAAGCAATTCTCCTTAGACTTGGGAACTCAGCACAACTACAGATTCCAGGATGGTGTCTCCCAGGGTGTCTCAGCTACTGCTGCCTAAAGACTGGAGAAGGTGCTGCCCCCCTCTGCCCTTCTCTCAAATAGAGGCATTTAGGTATAGGGACCACCAGAGTTCCTACGGGGCGGAGGCGTATCCCGGGGGCTGCATGAAGCCGGCTTTCCAGCGCGTGGATCCTTTTAACTTTGTCTGGAGATTAAGGGGAAGCCCGTCACTTACAGGTTCCCTTTCGGTCTTCTAAGCCAAACCTCGCTTCCTTCTGGTCTCTGAGAGGGTGCCAACAGCTGAGGGCTTCCACAGGTTCCTCCCTGAGGGACACAAACAAGCAGCGACCTCCTGGGGGCCTAAGCTGCAGGCACACTTATCTGCCCAGCTTCAAGCTAGTCCCTTCCAGGCAGAGGAAGGGAAGGGGGAGCCCTGGCCCAAGAGTGACTGTCACCTGACCTGCCACCACCCGTTAGGTTACTCATAAAGGACTCTTGGGACAGCTTAACGGAAACACCCCCTCAAAAGCCCACCTGCTACCAGGCAAAGCCCTGCTTTCCTCTACAAACGATCTTCACGGCTTTCAGGGAGGCCGGTGGCCGTTTGAAAACCCCTAAGCGGGAAGAGGCTTAGTCGGCTGTGTACTGAAATTCCTCCGTGGTTACATCAATTACATACCGCCTTGAAATCCGAA